TTCGTAGACCAAAATTCTGGTTTTAACAAAAATTAAAACCGGAAAAGGGTGTTCGACCCATCCCAAAGCTGGGTCGATGGCGACTCCGATCAGTTCGCAACGGGTACCCCAACCTCGGAGGGGCGGTTGCGACAGCGCCTAACACCAATGTAGTCATCATGGGTTCTAACTAAGTTGAAGTCGCCAGCGATACATATCGGACCATGAACGTCTTGGCAGAAACCATTAATCTCTTCAATAAACAAGAGCTTGTCTCTACGATCTTGAGGACCATAAACAACCAACAAATGCCAAGCTTTTGAGGAAGAAATTTCCAGGAATTTCACACAAATACAGAAGTTGCCAACCTTATCAGATTGCAAACTAAACAGAGACGAATCCCAAGTAATGAGGATACCCCCGGCACTACCGATCGCAGGTTTACCAACCCAACTGAAGCTCCTCCTACCAAATAAACTCCTCACAATCATGTCCGAGCACTGATCGAGTTTAGTTTCCACAAGACCAACTATACTAGGATTCCTGCGGTTAACGAAGCTTTTGACTCGAAGCCGCTTATCCGGGTCTCCCAGACCCCTCACATTCCAGAATAAGGCAGAGGACCCCATTAAGAAAAGTCACTAACTTCCCCCGTCCTTGTCCTTCGTCTTCTCGGGCCAGACACAGGGGCATCCAGAGGCCCGAGCCTGCGTAGCTCCATATCCAGCTTTGTTCGGGAATTTCTAACTCTTATCTCGTGCGTACGTTGCGCTTTGGAGAGAATGATCTGGTTTGAGACCTGTTGACCTTCTTCATGCTCCAAACCGAATAGCTGTCCCATTTCAGTGCTCTTCTCGACCAAGGTTTGCAGATCAAATGGGTAACTCTCAAAATCCCAATCACGGTCTCCGGCGTCCTCCAGACAAGAAGGCGAGGGTAGGGAGGAATCAAGGCAAAAACTGGAGGTGGGGCTGACGGCAGTCGAAAGGGAGGGGACGGGGCTCGAGTTAGGGGTGGAAGGGCAAAGATCGGTGCTAGAGCCTGGGGTAAAGGATAGATTTGGATCAAAATTGAAGTCATCACAGAGGGTTAGGGGAGACCCCAAGTCGGGGAGGAGAGGGGGTGGAGCAGTCGAAGGGAAAAGGAAAGGGAGGATACTAGAGAAAGCAGAAAGATCCAGGGAGCAAGAAAGGATAAGGGTAAAAGGTGACTGGCTAGAGAGCCGGATGGGCGGGGAGGAGGAAGATCGGATTAGGATGAGAAGTCTCCCAAAGTCTAATTCTTCAAGGGTCTGAGCGAGGATGGATTGCCCATGGCAGGGGGCGGATGGGGACAAAGAAGGGACAATCGATCCAGATTCTTCATGGGTCTGAGCAAGAGTGTAAGGCCCGGGGCAGGATAAGGATGGGGCCAAAGGAGGGACATTGGGAACGGAGGCCCGAGATTGAGGATTGATCCAAATAGGCCCAGCCTTCCTAATCCAAATTTTTTGAATTGATTTCCTAGCCCAAGTCGAATGTCTGGACGAGCCGTTGCACGTAGCAGGGGAAGCCAAAACGCCTTCCAAATCCCATTGGTCCGTACCCGCACGCATGCACGAAGGGCCCGAGGACCTGGAGGCGGCCGCCGACCCATGGTTCTTCGACTTCCACACCCCATAATTATTCCGTTCGCCGTTAACATGGCCGTCTCCATACGCCGGCGGACACACAATACTGATCCAGAATTGCCGGCCGTCATGGAATACTGGGATTACTCTGGGAAGAGGGCCCTCAGGTCTAACTCTGATTCTTATACAAGGAAGAAACCAAGCATTCCCGTCGATCTCAATTAACTTGCCACAGTAATTTCCAACTTCCTTGATAAGATTTACGCTCTTGAGATGCAGAGGGATATTGTAGACGAGGATCCAAACATCTTCAGATGAAGCAGCCACAATCTTCTCCTGCCAAGGCTTGATGTCGATAGAGATATTCTGGAACCGAGCCTTATTAAACCCCTTAATACGTAGTGCTTCTTGTATGCTTGGACAGATTAATAACCAATTCCCATCTGAGCAATCTTCCAACGAGAAATTATCATCGACAGCCCAATACCTCTTCATCCACCGTCGAAACAGAGGCATTGAAATGCTAGAGGGAATATCAGAATTGGGAGGCACAAATCTTAAGACCAGGCTTCTACCCAAAAGTTCACAACGTTCCCGAACCCCCTCTTCGCTAACCTCTATGAAACGATCTCCATTGCTTTCTTTGATAGAACACCTGCCCGACGCATAAAAGCCGCCGAACTTCACTGCCTCAGCATAGGATTTACCCGAATGCCCGTTCGGAGGAGGGGGGGGGAGGATAGTCGGGCTCCTTGACCCCGAACGAGGATTGGAGACGGGCTTGAAGTTCAGTCGAGTAAAATTCTTGGAGGAGTCTGATGAGCCCAGACCAGCCATTGCCTGAAGACGAGGGGGGGATAAAGACTTTGTAGTATCTCCCGTTACGAAGTTGAACTGAAATCTGCAGAAACTGACCCCGACGGTTGGATCCCCTCCCAACATGAATTGTTCGGTCGCCACTTCTCTTGACACAAGTCGCAGAGAAGACCCAACCCTTCATTGCAGCAGTTTGAAGCGTCCCTTGAAGCCAGGAAATAAGACCCTCATCCAACCTGATGAACCAATACTTCCTCCCTTCTTCGACCTGAAGTCTGTAACACCAAGAAGCCTTCGTAAATTCTCTGCTACAAGACACAACCTTGGTTCCCACACAGGCTGTAAGGAGTTTCTGAAGCGCTTAAGGTGTGTTTGTAGGCATTAGTAATTTCCGAGCAATAGAAAGCCTGACCCCGGAAAGGAACAATTCGTTTCCCTCCCCCACCTTTTCTTCTTCCACATTCTTGATTCTGATTTGAATGTTGCCAGAGAAAGCCTTGTCGTCGTAGTTCTCCATACGTATGTGAATGATGAGCTAACATTTAATTCATTTCCCTGCCGTAATTGTAAAAAAAGAAAGAGAAGAAGGATTGAATTGTTGAATGTTGAGTATTCGGACGTTTTTTTTTTGTGGGGTTCGGGAGCAAGGTTCGGCGTTTGGGGTTTGGCTCCCGGCGGGGGAAATCTTTCAAACGAAGGCGTTAGATTTTGCGGCGTCGTTTCGTTTTAAGGAAGTAGAAACGAAGGATAAAATTCGACCGACGACGAGATGTGTGCGGCGGCGACGACAGGGGATGGTGGGCGAGAGGGATAGTTGGGCAGATCGGGGGAGGATTTATCCATGAGAGTGAGAATGATTTGGCTCTCTTGATCAGCGATTTCCTCGAGAACGGTGGCAATAGCGGCGGCGCTGAGTCGTGGTGCAGTAGCGATAGCGGGTCAGGCCTATTCGAACTCTGTTCCCTTGCCGATAAGATTGGGGGAGGGTTTAGCCAGGAGTGAATGATTTGTTTGTCAGGTTCATAACTAGGGCGCCTTCGATGACGGTGGAGCAGGAGGCGGCCGGATTTGGAGAGAAGAAAGATGGGGAAGATGGAGATTTTTGAAGAGAGGAAGGAGGAAGAAGGTTTGGGTCGGTCGGGTCAAATAGAGAAGAAGAGAAGGGGTTGGAGTAGTTTTAATGACGTGACAGGTTTTAATGATGTGGTGGATCGGATTTTATTTTTGTTGGGTTAAATTCGGCTAACTAGGCGATTATGTTTGTTACGTCAGCATTTAACGGGCTCTATTAACGGAGTTGAATGGAGGCTAATAGAGAGTGACCAAATATGGCATGTTTTTACTAAACTTAGTGACCATTATTGATATTAATTTTTTCTATTGACTAAACATGACACATTTTAGTAAATCCAGTGACCAAACGTCGCATTAACCCTTTTTCCGGCATACTATAATATATGCTTTTAGTGAAGGGAAACATGGTTGTCCAACTCCAAGTTATTGTTTGTAATTTATACCTAGTATTATGACAATTAAAATATTCAAACATGACAATATGGTAGTATGGAGTGGTACGTTTCGGTTATGTATTTTCTTTCCAGAAATTTGTAGATCGAATAAATCATAATTAATGAGTTCTTTTATGAAAATTTTAAATTTTTTGGGTTAATAAGAAATATATATATATATATATATATATATATATATATATGGTGATGACTGGTGTACGTCAGGCGTATACTATATATCAGGTGATCTAGCCGTTAGATATACTTAGATGAGCTCCGGCCGATCTCAACGGTCAATTTTTGTTTTTCATTAAATCAAACTTCGGGTTGGGGTTTAGAAAATCGGTGCTTGGGGTTTATCCATTAGAGGTTAGGGTATAGTATCACACCCCAAACTCGATTTAATTCATGGTCTAGATAGAGATATCTCACTAGTAGTACCTGACGTATAGTATACGTCTGACGTACGCCAATCTGACCCATATATATATAGTGATAAGATTACAACCAACACATCTTTTGTAGGGTTAACGTTTTGCTTAAAATATAGCAAAATGGATATCATTGTGTAAATCATAATTAATGTGTTCGTTCTATATAATTATTTTTAAATTCCAAGTTTAAATGAATGAAATATGACCTTTTTTTCCCACCATGTACGAGAGTAGTATATTTGGTTCTGATTTTATTCCATAAATTTATAGATCAATATGAACTCGTTTCTTCTCTTAAATGTTTTTCAAATTTTGATTTAAAAAAGTGGTACCAGGTGTAACTAGTCATAAAAAAATCTCGAAATATATCAAAATTTTATATAATGAAAAGAAGATACAACGTACAAATATGCTAGAATTTGTAGCATAAATAATTTTTTTTATTAATGAAAGCACCCTAGCATTATAAAATTTCTTTTTTTTTTCGTTGAAAACATTATAAAATTTCTCTTTTAAAAAGATTGCTGTTGATCCATATGGACCATATTCATTATTTCCCTCGTATTTAAATTACTTTTTGTGTAATACTGAGCGAGAGAGCGAGTGCAGCAGGCAGTCAAACTCAGCATTCAAGTCCACGTTCCCTATAAAATAGAAAACAAAGAAAGAAAGAAATTTCCCATCCCCCAGCTTTAAATCAGAATTTATCTTTTACAGCTTAAATTTCTGAAAATCCTCGATCCCGTTATTGCTTTCTGACGCCGCACGAAGGAAGCTTCTGCCGTTTCCAAAATCCTCCGCTCAGGTAACCCAATTGCCTTTTCCCCTCCAAGCTTTGGCTTAGCCGTTCTCCGATTCAGTTCCGCTTTCCCTCCTTCGGCATTGAAACTGATTTCTGGGTTGCCGTAGATGAGCTGGCTGCGCCGGCAGTGAGGTGCACAAGGGGATATAATGGCGGTGTATAAGCAGAATGTGGAATTGCCGCCGGAGAGGAGGAGCACTTTCTCCGCCGGGTTTAATTCCCCTGGCCGGACCGAGCAGCAGCAAGGGTTCCGACGAAGAGGGAGGAGGATCGGCCGGTTTCTTAGACCTATTTATTGGGTCTGGATTGTGCTGCTCGCTGCGCTCTGCTTGGTGTTCACCGGTCTCTTCTGCCTCAGATTCCTCTTTCCTGGTAAACATTTCCTGCTCCTTCCAAGCTTTTCTTTTGGCTTTATGTCTTTGTCGTTACAATGGCGGTTTTCATTGAGTTGGGTTTTCCCCCGTCTTCTTTATATTTGTTAGTACCAGGTAATTTCGATATGCAAGATGCACGCAAGGTAACGATGGATATGGAGATTTCCTTCGTCCATGAAGAAATTGGTGGGAACTCCTCTTCATTCCCTTCTTCGAATTCTTCCAACGAAATCGAGCGTCGAAACTTCTCCCAAGCCGGTTTTGTTGGGAAACCTCCGGGGGGAAAGCACCGGAAGCTACGTAAGTTTCTTCTGCCTTGTAATTTTAGGGCTTTCCTGAGAATTTGTTCGTTGCAGAATGCCTGCTAACTGATCGTTGTAATGCAGCGACCAATCCATGTCTTCTATCCCTTCTTTCATTTGATTGGATTTTCAAATTCTCAACTTTCTGATTTCCATTACTCTTGTGTGTTGCCCTTTTTTCTCTTCAGATCTTCCTTGTCCAGTTAAATTTGCAGAGTCGGTGGATTATTTCATGGAACCAAATTTAGTGAGGAATTTTACGCAATTTTCATTAGCATATGTGAATAGTGAGGAGAAACCTCCGGAGATGAATTCCAGTAGGTCTGGATTTGGAGGACATCAGACCATGGAGCAAAGGGCGAATTCCTTTTATGCTAGAAATCAAACCCTTCATTGTGGATTTGTCAAAGGACCTCCTGGATCTCCGAGCACCGGGTTTGATTTGGATGAGAAGGACAAAGAGTACATGAGCAAATGTATAGTTGCTGTATCCTCCTGCATTTTTGGCAGCTCTGATTTCCTGAGAAGGCCTTATTACAAAAATGTAAGTTCCTGAATTTGGATCCTTGTGGTGCATCCTTTTTTCGATGAAGTATATTCTAGTCAGCTCGTTCTATAATATCCTACTTGAGTTGTTCGTAGATTTTGTTTTCTGCATTCCTTATCCTTTGCAAGATAATCATAGCCTTACCCTTGTTGCAGATGAGTGGGTTTGCGAAGGAAAATGTTTGTTTTGTCATGTTTGTGGATGACCAAACACTTGAGAAACTGTCTTCTGAGGGACATAAACCCGATGATCGAGGATACGTTGGTCTGTGGAAAGTAGTAGTTGTGAAAAACTTGCCATATTCAGACATGAGAAGAACTGGGAAGGTGCCAAAATTCTTGTCGCATCGCCTCTTCCCTTCTTCTCGGTAACGGTCAGACTAATAGATGCACTAAATTTCATATCCATGACTTGATCAAAAGTATAGAGCACTGTTATTCTTTCATTCACTTGCATCCATTGCTTTTCAGCTACTCAATTTGGGTTGATAGTAAGTTGCGACTTATTGTTGATCCAATGCGTATCATTGAGCACTTCTTGTGGAGAAACAAATCAGAGTTCGCCATTTCAAAACACTATGATCGTCAGTGTGTCTGGGAAGAGGTACTCCAGAACAAGCGCCTAAACAAATACAACCATCGGGAAATAGATAGGCAGTTCTACTTTTACCGATCCGATGGCCTCACCATGTTTGACCCCTCAGAACCAAATACTCCTCTCCCAAGTTGTATGTCTTCTTTCTTGTATTCTGGTCTGATCGTCCTTACTTGTGAATGGCTTTCAAGATTAGTTATTTCTGCACATTTTGTTATTGATGCCAGATGGTTTGTGCTTTGCAGATGTGCCTGAAGGTTCATTTATTATCAGGGCTCACACGCCAATGTCAAATTTGTTTTCATGCCTGTGGTACAATGAGGTTGAAAGATTCACTTCACGTGATCAACTCAGCTTTGCATACACTTACTTGAAACTCAGGAGATCCAATCCGGATAAGCCATTTTATCTCAACATGTTTAAGGTGATCTAACTAATTTAACAACAATCTTTTAGATTACATATTCTAGTTACATTTTAGTGAATTTCTAAGCTCAATTTTACTGGAAAGTTGAAAGAATATCCATACTTCCTTTCTGTCTGATTTGGAACCCGCTACAACTGTTTTTTCTTTAATCTTTGTTCAGGATTGTGAAAGGAGAACCCTAGCAAAGTTATTCAAGCATAGGGTACTGCGACCGCCACCTACAACTGGCCCTTGATGCACATTAGTTCATCCTGCTGCTTGGTAAGATCAAACTTATTCTCATATCTCAGCATCAACTCAATTTTTTCTAACCCCTTGCCGAACACACTTTCCTCTACTTTTAACTAAATTTCAGAAAGTCAACTTTATTTTAGGAAGGCCTAAAAGAAATACGCCCATATGTTTGCTCAGTATTGATTTTCCAATTCAAAAAAGCATTTTTACTTATGGAGAGCGTTGGTGAAATTTAAGCATTGATTTCCCAGGAAGCTATCTTCAGAACATTAATGAATATTGACATCACAATGTGAAAAGTTCATTTGAGTACCAAAGTGAATCGGGGACCATGGTTAGCTACTGAGGGCCCTTACTGGTTATGGATTTCAATATTTCATACAAAAGTAACAGATGTCAAATTGTTTTCTCCAATTCAGGGTAGCAGCAATGGCATCAAATTTACAAGCCTTGGAAACGGAGTTAGGAAGCTAGGGTTAGAATCATTTTGCAGCCAGGATAGCTTCCCAGAGGGTATATAGAGAGAGCAATAATGCTTAGTTATCTCCACTTCAACATCTGGTGTCTCGTAGCATTTTGCCTATTCTTCCGTCGTGTTTCAACAAATCTGTGGGATGTGATGATCCTTGCAAGCTGGAGATCGCGAACTTGCCATCAGATTATCCCTTGAAGCACTCCATTTTCAGAATGGAGGAATACTTGCCAAAATTTGTTGAGAAGAGCTTTGAGGAATGCTGCAAAAGGGGGCTGGTTGGTTATACATCTCCTCTGCCAGCCTCCATTATACCAGGTAAACTCTGGCCAAGTTATCCTCAAGAGAGGAGAGGACGATAGAAGGATGGCACTGTAGTTGAAAGAAGGAAGGGATTGCATTATTCCATCATCCCAAAGAATATTGTAGGGGTGGAATCTGGATTGTTGTAAGTTGTAAGAGACGTGTGAAAAATGACAAAATGCGGTTTCGCTCCTGTACAAATACAATCCAGCCCATATGGGAAATAACACCAAAAAAGATTCTTTATCCTGAGTCCTGACTGACTGATTTGTAGGACATGAAAATCTCTCTTTCTGCTCTTCTCTGTGGCGTGAAAAATGCAGTGGTCCTGAATGTGTAACTAACCGACTGAGGACACTGCTGAAACAAAGAATTCATGACTGAGTGAGGCCTTAAAGATCATGCCATTTGGGTTTGGAGTTTGAAGAAGAGCCCTCTCTCCATATCCCTTGGCACAGGCCTATAAATGCCATACTTTTCTGGCTTAGCTTGATGCACCATTCCTCTTCTTTCATTTCTGCTGGAAACAAACATGAAAATGGGGAGGAGTCATATGCGAGGATTGGAGGGAATTAAACAAGAGAGAGGCAGCACAGACTTGGTCTGGGTGGCTGCTCTTTCTCCGTGTTTAATTTCCTCCAATATCTCATGTCTGACATTTTCCAGGTGAAGATGGAAGAAAAGCCTACAGAAATGTTTGTTGCTTGTGAAAGTCGAAAGTAAGAATTGGAGGGAACTAAGCACATGATCTGGGAATGCAACATTATGCTAGCTGCTCGTTTCTTTTGTATATGTGTTTAGTTTCCTCCAATATCTTATCTCCGGCATCCGCAAGGGAAGGAGTTTGGCTGTAAAATCTGCAGGGTCGAGTATGAGTATTGGAGGAAACCAAAGAAATAGAATGATATTCTTCAACACTGGTTTTATGTGCTTTCATTTTCTGTTTTGTTTGTTTGGTTTTCTCCAATATCTCACCCTCGTCCATCGGCAAATCCCAAATACCTTAGAAAATTTTGGCACTTTTGGATTATAGTCCCTGAGATTCTGCCCCTGTTTTGATCACTGACAAAAAAGAAAAGAGGATGGAAGCTTTGTATGACGAAATGCTCCAACGGGATTCCGCTGTTGAGATCACTGTAAACTCGGAACCTCAGAGTTCTCGAATTTAGTTCGTAGATCTTCTTTAGTTGCCCATCCATTACGGTCGGAAATTCTTCATTTCTTCTACTTTTTCCTCAAACACGTTTCTGGGGTTTCTACAATCTCATCAAAGTTGCCGTCTTTCGTTGTTGTTTTTCTTCTTCCTTCCCCCAATTCCAGGAGGAGCGAATTCTGGAGAGAAGGTGCATATGATGCATTATTGCTGGACGGAATTGCTAATTGGGAGTTGGGATTACCTACCCTGAATCCTGAAATTCCCTTAAATTTTGCATGCAATGAATGCTTCCTGTAGGCTTGACTGCAACTCCAGGCTCCAGCTCAAGTGAAACAGGGTTTTAGCAGAGCTTTTGCTGCTCCAATCCATGGCCTGAAAAGCCTGGGTACCAGGTGGGCGTTATCGTTAGTAAAACATGGGATGGTGAACTTTCATTTCACAATGCATTGATTGGTATATATGGCGGTATGCGGTGATTCTGCAGGGAGATGGGAAGCCATGAAACAACCAGGATGTTTCTGAAGCCACTGGGTCAAACATTAAACAACCAAGGATTACTTCGAAGAAGTCTACGAGGTAGCAGTCACTGGAAACGGTAATTTTAACTTGATTCATTACAGAATAAACTCATTTGAGCTGGTGGGTTTCCTGCAGTTGGGGCTTACGACACCATTTCTCTTCTCAACGATGTTAGAGGTCTGAGCCTTTTCTCTGCTTTGTCTCAAACGTCTTATCTTGCTCAAGGGTCCTAAACGGCTGTCATACCACTCAACAGTCAAAGGTAGCTGCGGTTTCCAATCTCGAAGCTCGGCTGAGGAAGCTGTTGAAGGACTTGAAAGTCTTGAACATATCTAATATGTAGGGATAAAATTTGACAATTCCATACTCGGTTTAACTATGTGGTTTCTACAAGAAAGTGGGAAGTTCATGAAGCACATTTTTTCAGTTTTTTGCTGCTTTCTCGTTTCCCTGTGATTGTATCTGCAGAGGTGGGATTCGGTGAACCAGATCCTGCAGTTCTAACTTGTAAGCAGTGGAAGTGGTGAAAACTGTAAAAATGTGCAAAAGTTTCTTATGTACTCTCGAGAATAAGATCATTGTCAATAAGAAAGCATCAAAAAGTGTCCCCATAACACGCTGTTTTGATTCCTCTGTGCAATTTGCCCCACTCAAGAGGCCAATTATGGATAATAGACAGCCTTGAATCGAGAATAATGTGATTCGCCTTCTGGCAAAAGGAAACGTCCATCAACAAGCAAGTCATGGGAAACAAGACAAAAAATGTTTGGACGCTTCTATCAACTATTACCTTGCTTGCCTCACCTATTAAAACAGGGTTTGAAAGGAACAGAACGGCAATAATCTATGAGCTTCACTATCTTCACTCTAATTTTGCATTCCTCATTCAACCCTGGCTATGAAAACGCGAAATGCAGCAGGCTAAACAAACAAGAAAAAAGAACAGAAGCAAAATAAATCTGTTCATTAGGCGGACAAAGAAACCAACACATTACACCGCAGGAGAACTGACACAATTTTTTCCACTAACCAACAAGGGAGGGTACATCATTGCAGATTCTCAATGTTAAAAAAACCACAACCATATAAAGATAATAAAGGAGAACCTGCAGCGTGCTTGTTTCCGGCAATTTTCGTTTCCAACATCGAGAATTATGCAAGATAACGGTAAAGTTTTCTGTCCACATTATCCCTCTCCAAGAAATCTCGCTCAATGAGTGACTCGATCCGCTTCTTGATCTCGGTCGGATTTGGCAGGAACCGTTGCTGAAGTTGCTTCGTGACCTCGCTGATTAGGTTGTTGTGATCCAATACCCTCCTCGACTTCATGATCCTAACTAATGCAGCTTCAATCTGTGGCTTCCTGTCCTCTTCCACTCTCTGCCGTGTCTCTTGCTTCTCGGGTTCTGATTCCTTTTGTGCAACCACCGTTCCTATCTTCACCTTATAAAACTTGCTCGAGAACTTGTCGTTCACAAAGAACGCATCTTCTTCGCCAATGTCTTTGCTCATGGGCTCTTTCCGAAGCACGTTCTTGCCCTTTACACAGGCCATGGACTGCAAGCACCTCTTCAATTCAGGGGCCGGAATTTCTGTTGCCTGCTCAATCTCCTTGTAACTAAGTCTCTCAGCATTGTTGAACAGCATTAGAACGCACATTTGATAAGTCGACACATTCAGCTCATGCTTCTGACCTTTCCCAAAAGTCGCCTTCATATCTGCATTCCCCATGTTGGTCTGCCATGACAACCTTCTACCGGTATGAGTCCCGAGGTAATACGACCTGAACTTCTCACATAGTGCAGACATTTCAGAAGGCAAGTTGCAGGTGGAGCTCGGCTGAGTTGGCCAAGACCCAGTTGTCAAAACCTGGACCACGAGTGTGGGCCCTTCTCCCAGCTCGGGATGACTGGCATAAAATCCCTGCATTGTGTCCTGAGAAGTCTTCATGTCTGTGAACATACCTTCTAATTTTGAAGTGAACTGGTAGCCACATTCGGTCTTGAGTTTGACAATCAGACTTCTCTCTGCATCGTCTGATACAGTTTTACCCGACAAAAGTCTCTTGGCTAAGTGCTGCTTATAATACTTTTCAAACACATCTTTCTCCTGCAAATACCTGAACAGCATCATCACCTTGTCTAGAATGATCTCCACATCTTCTTCGCTAACTCCCTTTAGCCCCTTCCGCAGCTTGTCATCAACAAACAGTGAGATGAATTCAGGGGAGCGAGCATTCAAATTAATAAAGTATTCAAACGAGTTGGTTAAAGCGTTCTGGAACGTCTTGTCATTGCTAAAGGCCTTGTTTATGATGCTGTCATATTTGTCCTTCTCGTCCAAGAGCCGTTGCACAAACTCCACTGGATCTTTCAACCTTTCAGGATCAGTAACAAGTTGCTTGCCAGTTTCTCGCAGATGAGAAGTCATTACTTCCCGGATTGTAAGAAGACCATTAGGTACTCTTCGGAACAAGTTATACATTCTCCCCAAGTCCTCATATTTATCATCGAGAAGCATGTTGACCAAGCCTGAATTTTCCATGTGGACAAGTCGCGGCATGTGATTCGCAATCATCTCCTTCTCCACCACACTCGTGATTTTGATCTCGCTCTTAGCATCCAAATAGTGTGTCACCCTCTCTATCTCTTCGTTCAAACGTTTCTCAGCTTTCTTCAGATACTCGCCACAATCACAGCATTCAATGAACTTCTGAGATTCCACTTTGTAAAACTCAGCGGAAACTTCAAGAAAATGCTTCTCAAAGTCTTCCTGGTAAACTGCAGAGCCTAAATCCATCAGCATCTTAATTATGTTTCTCATCAGGCCACGGTCTATGACTTCGCCAGTTCGCTCTCTGTGGACTAATTCCAGAAGCGTGTTCAATAGCCTGCTCTGGATTTTGCTGGAGTGAATAATATTATCTCTCCACAAGTTGAGGCCTAGCTCATGAACGGGGGTTTTATGATTACTAGGAATGTAAGTTCGGTCCATGTACATCAATATGTCTCTGATCATCTGCAGAGCTTTGTTGTGGTCATTCCACTTCCTGTTCAGCTCCTCCAAAAAGGATTCTCCCTGGGCAGCCTCAATAGATTTAGATATCTCCTTTAGATGCGAAGTCATAGTTGAAACCAGGCCAGAATACAACTTCTCACCAAACTTGTGGAGAACCATATTGTATGCATTCCTGGAGCAAACAAGCAAAATGACAATGATATCAGAAACAAGGGCCCTTGACACTCATGGTGCTGCACTTGCCATTTGTATCGCACAACAAGTGCACATCCCAGTGAAGGAATCAAATGCTACTAAATAAGTTGCATACCAAGAAAATAAATTAAAAAAGCAATCCAGAGCCTAACCCCTGCGTTCTCTGCTGTCAACTAGGAACGGTTATCTCAGGAAAATGTTACTTAAATCAATTATGAAGTATACATATATCACATAATGAATTCCCCAAATAATTTCTTTCCAAGAGGCATCAAGAAGTATTCTTCAGGACTCTTCACATTTCTTCCCTTTGAATTCACTCAAATGTTAGAAGGAAAGAACAAGGCGGCTATGTTTTTATACCAGGTTCCAGTGAGATTCTAAACCTCACCCTACTTCAGAAATCTCTGCCCAGGCTTGACATACAGAATAAACGGAAAGGGAAATGATATACAACTGACATCAAACATTTCTTTGGAGTAGCTTTCCACATGACAAAAAAGCATGCCATAGAAAAATAAATACTCCATCAAGAAAAAAGGAAAGTAAACCCAATAGTGTGTAATCATTCACAACATGGCATCACACTAAAAGAAGCCATGCAGCAGGTTAACCCAATAACTCAGATGAAAGCAATATCTTGATCCCAAAAGGAAACGTTCTATACTAGGGCAGTTCGACATGCTACATCTGAGTTCCGCCAAGCAATCAAAAGATTGGAACCACCAAATAATACTATGAAGCTGCTCTCAATTCATATCAATTCAATCAAGTAGTAATCAAGGATTCCGTCCATGGTAATCTAAAACAATTTGTGCTCAAACTCAGAACAGGTACCAAATTCATTGACTAGTTTGAACATAAACCTGTAGAGCTCTTCGAAGCTGAGGCCACTGGCGTTGTGGTTGTAAATCTCATGGATAGCATGCTCAAGAACCTTCCAGGTCTTGTCTGCGTATTTCGGATCCACGACGACCCGGTGCTTGAACGCCTCTATCTGGAAGTTCCTCTTCTTCTGGTTGCTCATCTCTCCCGGATCCCAATTCTCCAAACTCCTTGGCCGCAACACCAACACCGATCCCCCCAACTTCAACCCAGAGGAAATTTGTCCAAATAACCGGTGAATCAAAAAGGAAAACCCAGCAACGCCCGCCTCGCAAAACAAGAGGATGTCAACAATCCAATAATCGTCCAAATCGGGTCAGATATGTTCTAGGACGGAGAGATGAGAGGGTAAAACGAAGAGGCGCCGATGATCGGAGGAAAATCGTACGGTGGCTACGTGGGGAGCGGAGAGGGAAAGGGTTAGGGTTTGGAATAGGGGTCGTGGGAGAAGAGGGACGCTATTGGAGGGAAATCGAGAGAGCGTAAATGACGGGAAAGAACCGGGAATTAGGCGTCGGTTAACGGAGGATCAACAGAGAGGGAGCGGCGAGCGGCGGCGGAGCTGAGGCAGAATGGGAGAGGGCCGGTTTTATGGGCGGATTTTAGATTTTGTTGAGAGGGAGGAGGAGATGGATATATGGTTTGCCGTTTGGTGGGAGAACGTTGAAGAAAGGAGTTGAGGAAGGGAGCAAACACAAAAGGGAACCATGGATTTGGTTTTGGTTTTGGTTTTGGTTTTGCTAACGAATTTGGTTTAGTTTTCATTATCCTCATGGCTCTTGCTTATGGTTTAGGTCAAGATTGTCAAACTTGTTTAAACCACCCCGTTGATTTGACAAATGGTTCGAGATTCAACGATCGAATCAAGATTCGACTGGTTTAAGTTGATTTTAGCAGGATCTGTGGGGAAACCATTAGCGTCGATTTGAACCGATTCAAACTCGTCTCTGCCGGTTATTAATGAACGAAGCTCCATGAACTCCGGCGATTCGTTGTCTTCCCCGATCGACCACGATAACTACTCATACCCGCGGTCGAAAAAGAAATCGCCTTTGACTATTTTACCCAAATTCGAGATCAAATTCAAGCATCACAAACAATTCGAAAGCTCGATATCTTTTCTTTGTCTCTCTTTCTTAATCGCCATCGATGAAACAGATGGTGGAGGAGGAAAGATTAAGCCTTTGATCGAGAAGGTTGTGTTATTTATAACCCATAGTTAGGTTTGTTTTGAGTCATTTTCATGGTCTTCACTAGCAATATGGTTATTTATAACCCATATTCGATCCTATGATAATATATCGGCATTTTAGGGTGTATTAGATTATATGAATATTTTAGGTACCAAAAGTGTGCACAAGTGTAGGAAAAGTGGGCAAAAATGGAGACCAAATCCAAAGGAGCCAAGATCACGGCCATGAAGTGAGAGCGTGAACTAAAGCACCAAGATTGCAGCCTTCAATGCTAAGATCACGGCCACGAACTCTAGTGCCAAGGGCACGAAATTCAGAAGTAGCTACCAAGGGAGGAACATAGAGTCTCGACAGTCGACTCGCGATTCTCTTCATTCGTGCTCGCGATAAAGATCGCAACCGTGACATCCCGGATCGCGACCATGATGTCTGGCCGCGAACTCCACCTTAAGCAAGGCGTAAATGGTGACCCTCAAGATTGCGCCATGTCCCCCAAAGATCACGCCCGCGATCTTCTGTCCCGTGCCCGTGAACTTGCCCGCGTCCTTAGAATTTTATAAATAGGGGACTCCTCCCCTTGAGAAGAGGGCTTTTGACAGATTTTTTGTTCTAGAGTGAGGTTATTGAGAGAAGCTTAAGGAAGGAGGAGCCAAGAAGGAAGGAAACTCTCTCCAATTCAAGACTTCTTCTATTTCCTTCATATGTATCTTCTTCCCTCCTCTATGCAGTTAGGGCTGGCTATTTGGACCGGGACCGGATGAAAAACCGGAAACCGGACCGTATAACCCAGACCGAGACCGGATAGTAAATAATCCAATCCAATCTTTGGGCTTAGATTTGAGGTAAAAAACCGGATAAAGACCGGATAAGAGAGCTCAACACCCAAAACTTAAGGGTAATTTGCATAAACGGTCACAAACCTTTACACTTAGTACAAAACTTAACCAACTCCTCACCCTTTTAGGCCTTATGCCACTCAAATTCCCACAATCTCAATATAAAATCAAGACCGAATTGGGACCGGACCGGATCAAGACCGGACTGTATCCAATCCAATCTTCGGTCCTTATATTCTCAAAAAAACCGGACTGGACCGGATCAATTTGGGCAAATTTAACCGGACCGGACCGTATAGCCACCCCTATATGCAGTAGTCCTCCAAGGTACTAGAGGTTAAAACCCCCATTCCTTAGTTTTTAGATTTTGAATGTAGATTTAATTGTGTTAGGGTTCTTGAATGGATATGTTTGCTTTAGTGAATATATGCTTTAGTTATGCTTAATTATGCTTGGGTAAGTCGCCCAACTCTTCCTTACAAGCCTATGACTGAGTTACTAGGCGAGAATTTTAGGGTTAGGCAGGGTAGCGCCAAATGGCTAATTAAGGGTAGATGAATGATCATAGGGTTCCTTAGTGGACGTGGCTACCGAACCCCTATTATAGGAATGTCTTCCTAAAACAATGTTAGAAAATTCGCACGAGCTCTGATTGAAGCACCGATCTAGTATGCATGATAGGTTAAACATATTGAGAGGAACTATGGGAGCAACCCTAGCACGTAGACTTAGACTGAGGTGACAATGGGTCTTTCTAGGCCGTGTTAGGAGGAGGGGGAGTAATCATTGAAATCCACATATTAGAGAGTTTCACATCATATCCTATAAACCCGACACAATTAACCATTTGCATGATAAACCTAAGTTTAGGTAGAGGGAGTTAACCCGAGCATATCTTCTCCTCTATCAATCTCTAGTTCAGAATCGCCAACTGCTTACTGCTAAGTAACTGGTTGACTAGATAACGACCGAGCCTAAGTAGCTTAGGATATCGTGACCCTTTGGAATATGACCAAGCCACTTTCCTACATGCCTAGCTAGGTTATACTTGGTCGTATTAGGATTGACTAGTGAGTGCGTTTTGACTTTAGAAATTTAAAGCTCGATCGAAGCAACGATCATGTTTTTGATGCCGTTGTCGGGGACTTACGGTAACTAGTTGAAAGAGTTGGGGTTTTAGTTTAGTCTTACTTATTTGTTTAGTTTAGTGTTGTTTCCTTTTGGTGTATAACCTTTTGTTTTGTGTTCCGTTTGTGTTTTGTTTACCCACTCTTCTCGTCGAAGGGTGGTTTGTGTTTGTTTGATTTCGTGTTTTTGTTTAGTAGTTATTAAAACATGGATCCTTACAACTTCAACAATGTGCGGGGATATCAACCATCCGTCAAATGGTGTTATCCAGGGACTTCAAATAGCAATGAAGGACAATGATCCCGGTTTCAAGAACAAGATGATGTCAACAATCCAATAATCGTCTGAATCCGGTAAAATATGTTCTAGAACGGAGAGATGAAAGGTAAAATGGAGAGACGCAAATGATCGGAGGAAAATTATATGGTGGCTATGGGAGGAGCGGAGAGGAAGAGGGTTAGGGTTTGGAATAAGAGTCGTGGGAGAGGGGAACAAGAGGGACAATATTGGTGGAAAATCGAGAGAACGTAAATGACGGGAAAGAACCGGGAAATAGGCGTCGGTTAATGGAGTATTAATAGAGAGGGAGCGGCGAGAGGCGACAGAGCAGAGGCAGAAGGGGAGGTGGCCGGTTTATGGGAGGATTTTAGTTTTTTGTTGAGAGGGAGGAGGAGATGGATAGATGGTTTGCAGTTTAGTGGTAGAACGTTGAAAAAAGTTGGGGGAGGAAGCAAACACAAAAAGGAAACGATGGATTTGGTTTTGGTTTTGCTAACGAATTATTTAATTTATCATAATGGTTTAGTTCAAGATAGTCAAACTTATTCAAACCACTAAGTTGATTTAACAAATGGTTTGAGGCTCAAAGATTGGATCAAAATTTAATCGGTTTTAGCCAGATGAGTAGGGAAATTATTGATGTCGATTTGAATCGATTCAAATTGCCTATGTCGGTCATTAATGGACGAAGCTCCCTGAATCCAGGTGATTCGTTGTCTTCCCCGACAATGATATCTGCTCATCCCTGCTGTCAGAAAAAGAAATCGACTTTGACTATTTGTCTCTCTCTACGGACGGACATCCCTGCGGACGAATATCCTTTATTTCTCTCTCTCATTGTATTAATTTCCATCGATGAAACATATGGTGGGTTGCTCGGAGATTAGGCTGCCGGCGGATCATCTCCCCTATAGGCCTGAATGCGGTCTTGTCGGTTACAATCACGAAAGGGGTGGCGGTTACACTTCTTGGCCGACGGTTCAGATAAGTATTCATTTATCATTTATTTTTTTCTTTATTTTTTTTCTTTCCCTTAATAATTATCCTTCTTACTTTATTTGTTTTTAATTATTCTTTCCAAATTTTTTCATTTTTCTCGCATGTATCTATTGCCTTCTTTTTAAATTTATATACTTGCAATTTGTTAGGTCCCCAAAATTTAGGCTATACCTTTTATTAAAAAGGAAAAAAAAAGTTTAGGTGTGTATAGGGTGGTGCCGGTTATCTAGGGTTTCCTAATGACCTGGTACTCTATTTCAAGGGCGAATTGCTGCCTTGTGTCTATGTTGACTCCTTGGCTCTTTGGCCTGGATTGTCCTAGTAGGGACCTTTGTTTGCTCATGTTGCAGGTGAAGATTCAATTGCACAATAGTCGATCGGAGGCGGCTGTCTTGTCCACTAGGTGGCCTTTTGATGAAATTTGATGGAGCACTTGGAAATGACGCCCCTGATGTTGAAGGAACCCCTTGAACACTATTAATATTTAGTTTGATGGTGCGGTCAAGCATAGTCACGAAGGTAGTATTGGCTTTGTGGGTTTCCAATCGTCAGGTAATATTTTCTTTGCTTTCGGAAAGTGTTATGAAGGATTACAAGATCCATTTGTTATACTGGAGGCCATATAGTGGTGCCTAAGCCTGACACATTCCTTTGTCTCTGTCAAATTTCATGGGGATTCAAAACAATTGATACGATGGGATGGTGGGAGACGATTTGGCGCATGATCGGGGTGGTGCTCTATTCGAGGATACTCAGAGCTTAGCTTCTCACTTCAGTCGGATTTCTTACTGCTTTGTTTATCGTCGACTAAATAGGGTTGCCCATCATGTGGCACAAAAGGCCCTCTCATTGGGAGTTCGACTATTGGTCGACTCCCGCGTTTTTCTTTCTTCCTCCTTGTGACTATCTTTTCAACACTGACTTTGCGAGGAAAAAAAACATATGGTGGAGGAGGAATATCAAGCATTTAATCGAGAAGGCCACCAATTCGATTGCGACTTATTTAGAGTTGCGTCTAGCAGCACATCAATGCACTGAAGCAATAAGGGCGGTAAAAGCTCGACATCCTCTTTTTGTGAACGGTTCTGAAGTATGAATCTCTTGTCACTGATTATCACAATGAGATCCACACCATGGATCTATCACGATTATTATAGATCGTCCCTGCATCGATCTCATATGATTTAGTCAAAGCTCAAATGAGTCCATCATTTAAGGTGGGGTTTGCCAACGACTCCATATACATTATCCACCAGAAGTAGGGGTGAGCATTCGGTCGGTTCAGTTTCGACCGAACCGAAACCGAACCGAAAATTTATGAAGACTGGGTCCCCGAATTCTCCCAAACCTCAAACTGAATTCAAACCGAATTATAATTCGGTTCGGTTTTTCACACAAAACCGAATTTGTGAAGCTACTTGTATTTTTGACTCACTCCTACTGTCACTCTAGAAAATGGCCAAGTGAAACCACTTCCTAAAGCATAGTATAGCGGGTTTGGGTTTTAATGTCAACCCGAGTCCTAGATGTGATGACTACTCGGTGAAATCTCGTTATCTAGCAGTGAACTTTTAGTGCAGATTCAAACAAACAAAAACACAAAGCAAGTTTAACGGTTGTTCAAGTCAAGAGAGGTCACCCGGATATGGTTCCCCCTAGATTGCAGTTAAGTCGGATTGCAATTTACCAAGTTCAGTTTTTATGAAAGTTATACTGCGGAAGGTTCTTAAATAGCCTAAAGTCTCGACTAAAGGTCTTCAGACCCTCTCAATCTGAGTCTCTAGCGGGCGACTAACCTCCACTGGAGTAAACAGATTGAGACCCTAACGAACCAAACCTCCACTACCGAATGGAATTCGGTATAGAATAGCGAATTGGCTCCTCGACTAAAGTCACCAATTCGCCACCTTCGATTAAGGATACTCTATCAACCTAGGCAGATATTCTCATTCTAGGTCAAAGCAGAAACAACAGGAATTTGATCAGGATTCAAGTCATTCAATCATTCAAACCTCAATCGAATATAATCAATTCACAAACTCTGTACTTGGGTTCATACAATCAGACCTAGCATACAAATCTAGGGTTCCCCATACCCAGATGAATGAGGGAACTACTCCATAGAGAAAGAAGCAAAAGCAGATTCAGACGCGGAAATCATACTGTGAAGTTGGATTTCTGCTCCTGGACGTTTAATCGGCACTTCTCCAAGCTCAAGCCGGGCTCCAATGGTGATGAAGATCGAGCTATGGCGCTTGGGAACTCTGGTTCGTCGCTTTCTCTCTCTAGGGATCGCTTTTTCTCTCAAAAACTCGGAACCCCTCCATGTTGGCCTTCTTCCTCCTTTTATCAGCTGCCTGGTCGCGATACCCGGTCGAAATACCCAGTCGGGTATTTTGGGTTTCGACCGGGTATTTGCAAAACTCACCGTTTTATTTAAGGGGAAAATCCCCGGTCTGTGCTCATAATCCCCGACCGGGGATTTAAGGCATTTGCCCGGGCCCCCTTCTGTTTCTCACGGACGCCCGAAGAGAAAAATATCCGGTCAAGGCCAGAAAATACCCGGTCGGGTATTCCTTCCTTTGGCCGGGTATTTTGGTCCAACAGCCTCCTTCGTCCCAACTTCGCTCCTTTCGACCCAGAACTCGTTTCTCCGCCTCGATTCCAACGCCGGGTCCTGAAATATGACATAAACACACAACCTAGCGTGAAATCGGCTTAAAACACGAGATTCCTCATCACAAACGGCTTCAGAATAGGGGTGAAAACATGTATAATTATCGGTCTATCAATTTTCTCACTTTTAAATTATTTTTTACCCCTAATATAAACAATAAATATCAATTATATGCATCATCAATAATAAAATCAAACTTTTCAACACATACGTCATAAAATATTTCAAATATTTAAGTCTAAAAATAACTACAAACATAAAAATCCACCATTTGAAGCTTGCAATTGTAGTATTTCAGTATTTCGGTCGAAAATTCGGAAATTCGGTTCGGTTGAAAGAACCCTGGTTTCCGAACTATCCATATTTTCCTTCCGAATTCCGAACCGAATAGTATTAATTTGGTTTTGGTTCAGTTTAATTCGGTTCCGGTTCGGTTCAGGTTTACCAAATCGTTTGCCCACGCCCGAGAATATCTTACTCCTTTAACTAGGAAGCAAAATCTTGTCTTGCTTTCTCAAATCGCTTGCACACTCAGAGTCCATACCCATGACTATCCACTTGGGGCACTAGTTAAAGCCATCAACCACAATATCAAAGTTGGAATGAAGATGTAGGTAACCGATGACACTTGAAAAGTATTATTTTTCTACCATGTTTGAGGTCAAATCCATATCTATTTGATGCAATCTTAAAAGTTCTACAGTTGAAATGTCTATTGTCAGTCCAATATGCGATTATTAGACATTATGTGTATATATTTATACTTTTTGGTTCCCTTTTGGGTAGTTTTTGGTAATTTTTAGACCCAAGCACACTTAGGATATGTTTTGGAGTAAAGATGGACTAGTATGGATAAAAATCCGAAGTTGAAGACCAAGAGGCCAAGTGGAAGCTCTAACAATAGGTCAGGCCGTAGTCGACCATTCAAGCCCAAATTTGCAGATAAGCCTAACGAGCCGAAGAAGAGCATGTTAACCAAGTTTCATCCCAAACGGAGTGAAGCCCCAGAACTGCGGTCCAGCCCTCCGACCTCATTGTACTTCTGGAAGCTTCCTCTTTCCTTGCACATCAAGTAAAGTGTCTGTTATGGAAAACGTTTCACAAAAGTATGTTTCTTGCCACACAAGTCATATATAGAATCGACACATGCATAAACAACGCCCGAGCCAATAGAATTCACTATTTCTCCTTAAGGAATTTAGTTCCCCTCTACGGTACCCAAGGTTATTGGAACTATTCCTCCCAGGATAGAACGGACGTACCTTTTCTGGCTGTACCGGTACTTGAAACACCAGAATCCGACGAACGCAACGATCGGAGAGAAGTCACACGACTCTGTTTTCCTTTATGAGTTTGTAGAGAGGAAATGCAATGAAGAATGAAAAATTCTTTTATCTTTTGGCCAGAAAAATTTCTTGGAAAAATCTTCTGTACAAAACAGAAGGGGGTAGGTGTTTATATATAGACAATGAAGGGGTGCGAGTGAAGGGATGCGACCCTTCAAGTGGGTGGTTACACCCCAACCATTGCAATGGTTCAGTGAAGGGATGTGACCCTTCAAGTGGGTGGTTACACCCCAACCATTGCATCGGTTCGCCATAGTAGTTTGACCGGTTGGTTTATTCCAACCGCCACATTGGTTCGGTCCGATTCGGTTCAACTTGGTTTAACCAATAACTCACCAACTATTGGCTTCTTCCCCTTTCATTCTCATTCACACCTTTCAAATTCCAACAATCCCCCACATGAAAGAGAATGCTAAGTTTTGAAAACTATGCAAAAAACTGTGTGACTCTCAACTAAGAATTAGTTGTATTAGGATAGGTGGGTTTCCCTTTGAACCATCCCTAGTGAACATATATCGAGTATACTCACCAATCGGTAGATATGATATCTTTGAACCGTCGGTTTTTCTTGTATATTAAGACAACATATGTCACACAACCAACTCTTATCCGCTCGTTGGTTCTCATTGTTGTGTTCGTTTCAGCCATGAACACCGCCTGGTTTCATGAGTGCGTAGAGAATTGGCCTTCTTTTATTCTCCTTGAAGCGGCTCCACTTCACACTCACATAGGTGATTTCTAAACATGCATTCTGAAAATACACTATTTAATCACATCCTGTGTCAAACTTAGAAACCATTAAAAACCTTTCATATTTAGGTTTACCCTTATATCTTGGACATTGTCTCATCATGAGAATGGACTTTGAATAAGTTGACAATGTCGGACCATCATTCACAACTTTGTTTTCTCCTTGAACCTAGAGGTTGGGTCTGCCAATCCTACTTAGGTAGAGTTACCGCCATGATGATTTGTCCTAGGCCACAAGTCCATTCCCTTCGATGCTATCGTTAATTTCTAGGTAGGCCTAACGTTTGTTATCACTTGATCTAAGATGATCAATCCAAATAACTTTTCTAGAAATTAATCAATCCATAGTGTTACGTTTCCATTATCTTTGACGAGATTTATCACATAACACTCCTAGCCCTTGCAATAACATCTTTGTGCACAAGTGCGTTTTATTAACGCCAGTCTTTGCGGGCCAAACTACTCAACTTCACCGGTCTTAGAGTTTAACTTGGACGTTTTCCAAGATACTGCTCCTCGTTAACCATAAATGCCTATCCATTAATGGACTATGGCTTTTGGTTCATCCAGTGAGTTCCTTTGGGTAAAATTCACCAAAGACTCGTCTTTTTCCGATTCACTACACATCTTGTGATCTTGACTTGATTTTATTGCCTTGCAATAATCATAACACATGCCAACGGTATTGAAGTCTCTCCACTTCATTAACCTTACTTGAGCTTCACAAGTATCTCTTTAAATGTAGTGACATTTATGACTTAGCTTAGGGTTTACGCAAAACTTCTAAGTATCACTTTCACTTTAGAATCACCCAAGCGACATTCCGCATTACTTCTCCCCAATTTATCCCCCGCATTTCAACTATTTCGCCATAGTTGTTGAAACCAACGTTTCCGGTTTGGGGAATGTTGTTCATATACTATCATGTATATGGTCAAAATCATCTCTTTGGGAAGAGTGGATCAACATCAATAAATATTCTAGCTCGCTGACATAACATCAATATATGCTAGAGTTTACTCATAAGTTATACCCTTGGACTGGGTTAACTCCACAAGGTTTAAGGACTCTCACTTTCTCATTGGACACCTTCATACTTTCAAGTATGACTTCGCTTACCTTTCCACTTTTGTCTTATGGATAGGTTTGCGTCCCATTGTAGGGTCTTGAGATAGTAGCCGAAACAATGGCTAGCTCTTCTCGCCCACAATTCTACCCTTTGCCAAACATCATGGAATAATCCCATTTATTTTTCCTGGTTTTACTTATTGAACTTGCCAACCACTATATGTTTCTAATTATTTACCAATGGTATGATCTCACTCGATTAGCATACCACAAACAATTCAGATTTTATTAGAAAAAATCATCCAATTACTTACCAATGGTATTGATCAAGGCAACTTGAGACGTCATAAGTAATTCAGATGCATTCCAGTAATGGAAATCCCATCTAATTACTTTCCAATGACATTTCATATATGCAACATGATATACCACAAGTAATTCAAACGAATTTCTAATTCAATTGTCTAATTACTTTCCAATGGTATAAACTTCATAAATATACCATAAGTAATCCAGACTTTAAGTTCAATAAGATCATCTCAATTGAGCTCTCATTCCAAATTGTTTTCCAATGATATACATCTATATATACCATAAACAATTCTGGCAACTAGCTCCACGTTGATAATCATAGTCATCTTGATGACGACCATCATTTGGCATGCTTATTAAATCCCTTTAAGGATCAATCATAGCTTCATTTACCTTGCCCTCATGGCATAGGAAACATCAAGTCCTAAACCACATACATGATAAATAAATTATCATGTCTTCACAACTATCACAGGAACTAGAATTCCTTGTAGCTTTCTCGTAATGCAATCCTTAAACGTGCATTAACCAAATTTCATCTCCAACACATTGGAGGTATACTCTTTTAAACTATGTCCAACATACTATGAACATTACGTTTGAACCATTCCGGCTTAGATAGACTTGACTCACAAGTCCCCACTTGCCACGCTCCATAGGTTTTACACACCTATGATTGTTCATATTCTCCCACTAGATAGTTTACTACTATCCAAACCACCGTTACTTAGAGTCCATGAAGGATTATCATAAGTACTTCCATCATCTCATGCATCACCAAATTAAATTGGCACATTTGTCATTCATCCATGCCACAAAAATGAAATGGACCAATGCAATAAAAGTATTAAAACTTTGTGGTTAATTTTGGAACCAAACAAACTCGTAAGGTTTTATCCAACTAATTTTCCACTTGGGAGATAAGAACATTTGTCCTTTATTCATCATGTAAATACACGACTTACATAGGTACACACATATTAATACCGTATGTATATATACACACATACATATGTCTACTCCTCAAGGAGATTACAATACATATAGAAGAATCCTAAGGATTCTTGGGGTCGAAGTCAGGATCAGAGAGGCATTCATCGGTCGCTATGTCGGAGTACTCCTCCTCGTTCTCCGATTCCTCAACTTCCTCTTCTTCCCCCATACTCTCCATCGAGTCCACATGGGTTCCCAAATCGTCCACATTAGGACCCATTGAGTACCAATCATAGATGGGTATATCATCTAGAGACCAATAATTGGTTGGATGCTCTCCACCAATGTCATTATATAGCAAATCCCCGCTATCGTCATGAAAATCGAACCACTCTTCATTGTCAAACTCCATTTCGGGAGTAGAGAGATCAATAATCTCTGGATCTGATTCGATATTGATGACCTCTATGACGTTATCGTCATCATCCTCGTGAGTTGGAATCCATACTCCGGGGGTGCTACCAACCATTTTCTTTTCTAACAGAATGAACACACTGATCAAATCAGAAACCAAGGATTTATCTTGCAATGAACAGTGAATTAGAGATCAATAATCCCTTTTTCTAATTATACAAAGAACAAAACAATGGTTGCCATATATATATATATATATACATGCATGTATAAAACAAGGATTCATGTATAAAATAATTGCATATACACAAACACGTGATGATTATATATATATATAACACAGTAATAATCTGTAATGATTATATCAAGTCCAAACTGTCCGTTGCCTACTTGGATCGTAACTTTTGCATACTTCCAGTTAGTATGATATACAAAACGACCGAAAATGCAACCTTTCAATCAAATTTATATCCCACCAGTAACAGGATACGACGAACAACATGCATGAATCAAGAAATCTAACATGTAAGAAATTAATTATGTCGATGACTATATATAAGCAATATAACCATGAGACATCAACTTCATCACTTTCATTTTCGGCAACAAACAAGATCAGTATAATATCTACTCCATTGCCACTTTCTGATACGGCACGTAGCATAAACCCACTAAAATGCACAATTTCACGTAGCAGGCAATTTTCCAGTCGAACACAAATCAGTATATATGAACAGTACCGATTCATGCATATCTATGTGACTTTGCTATACGAAAATGTCGATTCATGCAGACCAAGACAAAGTATATACGTGAAACCTAAAATTAAATTCCTTAAGATTGTTATGGAAAACGTTTCACAAAAGTATGTTTCTTGCCACACAAGTCATATATAGAATCGACACATGCATAAACAACGCCCGAGCCAATAGAATTCACTATTTCTCCTTAAGGAATTTAGTTCCCCTCTACGGTACCCAAGGTTATTGGAACTATTCCTCCCAAGATAGAACGGACGTACCTTTTCTGGCTGTACCGGTACTTGAAACACCAGAATCCGACGAACGCAACGATCGGAGAGAAGTCACACGACTCTGTTTTCCTTTATGAGTTTGTAGAGAGGAAATGCAATGAAGAATGAAAAATTCTTTTATCTTTTGGCCAGAAAAATTTCTTGGAAAAATCTTCTGTACAAAACAGAAGGGGGTAGGTGTTTATATATAGACAATGAAGGGGTGCGAGTGAAGGGATGTGACCCTTCAAGTGGGTGGTTACACCCCAACCATTGCATCGGTTCGCCATAGTAGTTTGACCTGTTGGTTTATTCCAACCGCCACATCGGTTCGGTCCGATTCGGTTCAACTTGGTTTAACCAATAACTCACCAACTATTGGCTTCTTCCCCTTTCATTCTCATTCACACCTTTCAAATTCCAACAGTGTCATAAGTATAACATACCTCGATTAAGAAAATGTTAACTAGAGTAAGAAAATGTTATATAGATCTTGAATTGATCAAAATTTAGGAAAGGATACTATACTCTAACAAAAATCAAAATCCATACCCTAATTCTCTAAATCTTATACACTAAGATCGATTTAATTAGAAATAATAATCCATGATGTAGATTCGTTGAAATACATAAAATAGAATACACGAATCATTTTAGGGTTTATAATTTTGTTAATTAGGACAGAGGATTCACTCATTAAATGTTAGGGTATAGTATCTTGCCCCAAAATCCTGTCAATGCAAGGTCTAGGTAGCATTTTCTTGCTTAAGATATGCAGTACCCCAGATTCATCCAAGGTACGATCGAGACCGTGATAGTGTTTTATCCTTCTTGCTTTCATATATCAATTGCATGTTGTTTGACGAGATCACACACATATATGTGATTAATACAATTTCTTATGCATGATTAGTGAGATCACATGCATGTATGTGTGAAGCCATTTGATGTTTATCCTAAGCTTGTCGAGGCCATGCGTTAATAATCAGCATTAGATCCCTAAGTCAAGATATTGCTTGAGATTTTACAACCCTACTTGTTATTTGTGATATATGTGCTTGATAGCTTGCTTGTGTATGACGAAAGCACACACACGAACTTCAATGAAAAACAAAAAAACATATCAAACACAAACACTTCCAAAACACAAGACTCACATCATACGTGGCACACACATAATTAAGACATAACTTGATATTCTTGTACGATCTTGTGGTAATCAATATTTTCTTAATAGAAGGAACAACCATGCACTTGTGTGACCAAATCTTTTACCCCATACTTAAGATCTTTGCAACCCTTAACTAGTGACCGACTTAAATTTTTACAACTCACCACACCTGAACTAGCAATGCTCAATTTTACATGTTGTCGAGGGTGACCTTGTTTCACTCTTCTGGTACATGCATGTGGAAGGCAAGACATCCACAAAGGCTCTCTGAGCATCAATCTAGGTTTGATCCTCCAAAGCAGCAAGCTTCAGTCCATTTATATTTCAGCCTCCCTTGAGCTAATGAATACAAATTTTATATGTTCAGCTTGCATAACAAGAATTGAAGTCTCAACATGTTGAGTCCTTAAGTGAATAGATATGTAATTTGGTTTTGAGTGTCTAAATGCTTTAATCAAATAAGCTTGGATTGGAGTAACTTTTGAGCCATGTGATAATCGATCTTGATAAGTTTCATTCTATCATAAAACATTGGATTTTCTGTAATGTATATAGCAGATCGATTGTTACAGGAAGTTCCACAGGTTGAAGAGGATCAATATCTTGTGATAGTGTTTTTACCCAAACCACTTATCATGTTAACTGAGCTAGAGCTCTATATAGCCATCCTCAAATGAGGATCGAGAAACAATTCCTTGTTTCTTAGATTTCCGAATGATCAAAGAAGTTGTAAGTGAAATGCAATATCAAGTTTTAACCCTCTATGTGTATGGACATGATGGCTAATCAAAGTCATTATATCCTTTAAGTAAGAGATCATATTGAAGGTAAGAAAAAACCTTGACCAATAGAATTCTTCAAATATTTGAGAAATTTGTTAGCCAAGTGAATATGTGTTGATGTCGGTGTTTCTTGGTATTGACATTATTGGTTTAATACACATGTTATTTCTAGGCTTGTGATAGTGAGGTAGTGCAAACATCAAACAATCCTTCACTATAAATGTGGATCTTTAAGTAGAGGGCCATTATTAATGAAAAAAAGTTTTCATATCAATGACAATCACTACAAGTTTGTAATCAACAAAATCAGTGTCCTCTAGAAGACTAACAATCCTACCCTTGATCTATCAATCTCCAAGACAAGGAAGTAATGAAGAGTTCCTAAATAAATCTTGAACTGTGTACCCAAAATGCTCAAATTCTATCATGCCTTGTAAATGATCTCCAACAATAATGATATCATCCACATAAATAAGAAGAATATAAGTTCCTTATCACCATAACAATACAAAGAGAGAATAATCACTATGAGACTACAACCAAACCTAACCAAAACATAAGTTAGTATGGGGAATCATTGACATTATGCTTATTTCAAACAAGAGACAAATTTCTTGAGATAACAAACATGACCTGGATGGTTGAGGTCAAGAAGGAGTTCTAGGTACATTTTTTCATCATGGTAATGCAGAAATGCATTACTAACATCTAGCTAGTACATTTCCTAGTTCTTAGCTATTGCAATAGCTAGAAGTGTCTTGACTAAATTTAACTTAGCGATTTACAATAGCTAAGAACATAGTCATTTTATAGTCAAGACACTTTCATCGTGTCTTTCTGCTAATCCATAAGTCATTTCTAGCTATTGCAATGATTAAAATTGTCATATGTAATGTAAGCAACCAATGAATAAACATGCTTGTTAGTAATGAAATCAATAATTAAGACATAGTCATTTTATTTTAAAGGAAGTTTTGTATGTCTTGGTTGTTTTATTAGTGCTATGAGGAATGGTTGTGATTAAAGGGGAACATAGTGTGGGGTGATCATACTGGGGAGATAAATATGAATGTAATGAAGGAGTAAGAGTGGTGTTCAAAGCAATAAGAGACGTAAATTCATGTTCACCAGGATTAGGTGGATAAGGTAATGACATTATAGGTTCATGAGTGGAAGTTGGAGCTTGAGTTGGAAGTATAGGAAACTGAGGAGGAAAAGAAGAAGTCTCTTCATTTGAAGAGGGAAGATATGGTATAATGTGTTCATGGAACACAACTCCGAAAAATAAAAATTTCTAATTACAAGATCAAAGAGTCGATAAACCTTGATGCCAAGTGGAAATTCTAGAACACACATGGTTTAGCTCTAAAAAACAATTTGATTTGATTGTGTCCTAAGGTACTTGCATAACAAAAGCTTCCAAAAACTTTCAAATTGGACGAATCTGGTGGGATTCCATACAATAACTCATAAGGAGTATGTTTTTTATAGCAACAATAGGTACTATGTTTATAAGATAAACAAGATGAAGAATAAAGTCTAACCAAACTTTTAAAGGTAAGCCATAATAAGAATTTCAAGGCTCCAACAACATTGAGAATATGTTGATTTTTTCCCCTCAACTATGACATTTTGTTGTGGTGTTTCAACACATAACATTTGGTGTACAATGCCATGTTGCAAGAAGAAATCAGGTACGTGAAACTCAACCCCGGTAAGATCTAATGACATGGTTGTGACATTACTCATTAATCATTAGTCAACGTTGTCGACCGTCCAACTTAACAATCAACCCTAAGATTAGACCAAATTAGTCTTTAATCTTTATGGACATTATTTTAAATTAAAATAATCATTTACAAGTCGTTTGGTACCAACTGTACATGGGCGTTGGGCCGTGCTTGGGCCGGCACGGCACGGGCACGCTTCGGGCCCATTTATTTCGTGTCGTGCTTGGCACGACCCGTCAGTTTTCGTGCCGTGCCATGCAAGCCCATTTGTCAACTTTGCTAGGCCCGGCCCAGGCCCGGGCACGGTTCGAATCGTGCCGTGCCTATTCGTGCTCGTGCCATGCTCGTATTCGTGTTTAATGAAAAGGACGAAAACAAAAGAGAGAATGAAAAAGAAGGTGAAAATTGGACGGGGGAAGATAGTATAAACCGATAATGTTTGAGAAAAGTAACAAATAGGGGGGAAAAGAAAATTAAAAGTATAGCGAGTGTGATTTGGCTTTGTTTAATTCTTTGTTCATTTTTACTTATGTTAGTAATTACGTATATATCTGTATGACACTTCTAACAACAACAAATAATTATTTTTCTACTTGTGTTTTGTAATATTTGAACCTATAATTCTTTTTATACTTATTTTCTATCAAATAAATATTATTTTCGTGCCATGTCCGTTCTTATACTCAATAAAGTCTCGAAAATATTAGGCCCGACACGGCCCACTTATATACCGTGTCGTGCCCGTGCTCGTGCCCATAAAGTTTAGGCCCGACACGGCCCATAAATTATTCGTGCTCGTGCCGGGCTGGCCCATTTATTTCGTGCTCGTGCTCGTGCCGTGCTCTAACCGTGCCGTGCCGTGCTAGCCCGTGGGCGGCACGGCCCGGTGCCCACGTACAGTACCAACTCTATCCTTCCTCACCCTAAGCCTAATGTGAACTAGACCCATTAATATGTAGCCCATAAAAACTGTTTGTCAAGACAGCCCATCGCATTACAGCACACAAATCTCCAAGCCCAATAGTGTCTCGAACTCCAAACCGATTCGGTGCAAGTAAAGTTGTAATTTCCCGGTGTTCTCCGGCTTACTTTCCACGCAGACGTGACTTTAAATCCACGCGCCGGGCCGCCCATATAAATCCAAAGGGACGAGGAAAGAGCTCGAAATTTCGAAACTCCAGAAATCGAACCCGCCTTAATCGCCCTGTCACCGTTCCTCCAATCCGTTCTTCTGTTTCTGTTTGGGTGCTGGGAAGATGTCGGCGGATTCGTACTCCGAGAGAAGTTTGTACGGTGGCGCAATCTCCAGCACCTTTCCTCTCAGGTTCCAGGTCAGTTAGTGGTCCCCCTTTCTGCAGTCTGGCAACTCCCAACTTCCGCTCTTCGTTTCCTGCTTTTCTGAATGAATTTAGGATTGTGCTGGATTTTGGTTTTAGGATGTGAGCGATCTTCGTCAAGTTCCTGATCACCAGGTTAGTGAACAACTCTTGCTCAGTGTGATGGCTTTTCTGTATTCTGCATTTGGGATTTTGACATTTTGTAGAGAGAAGTTGCTTGATTTCAATTTTCTTGCTGGAACTTCTTTTGGGATAATTCGTGCTAATTGGAGTGAGTTCGTTTTGATGATTGTTGGCAAAAGGAAGCTTTCGTGGACCCTGCAAGGGATGAGAGTTTAATCTTTGAGCTCTTGGAGTTGAAGCATGAAGTTGGAGATAATGGAAGTGCTGCTTGGTTTCTCCAAGACCTTGCTAATGAGCAAGATGCTGAAGGGTTCACCGTATGCACCATGCTTTACTTTTCTTTCACTAATTTACATATAAAAATATATCTGCTCAGTAGATTGAAAATGCTGGGTTCACTAGGGACTAGAAACGGATTTCTATTGGCAAGAAAAGAGCGAAGAATGATAGTAATGATAATAAACTTGGTTTAGCTCTTTGTATGATATTTTAGTCAATCCTCTGTAATGTTATGTGGCTGGTGTGTATGTTTCTCAAAATGTACATGTACTAACTTGGGGCCGAAGCAGTGCGCAACTGTCAGGGACCAATTTGTTCTCCTTAATGCTCTTTGTTTGTGGTTGCTGGGTTCTTGCACAATGGTTGATAAAAGTTTGTTGTTTGGCTTGTGAAAGATGATGTTATAGTTTTTGTGCCCTTTCCTTATACCTTATTTTACAGTTTAGCTGATGGTTTTAAGTTATTTATGAGTTTATGACTGTTGATTTTCAGCTTCTAGAGCAATCAGGAGTGGTTGAGGTGCCAGGTTTACGATACAGGAACCTTCCGGTTGTTATTACCACTGCAGTTGGACAAATGGTACTTGTTTCTTTATTGCAGGACTCTAGATTGAACTAATCTATTTTATCTCTTGATTTCTCCTCCTGCTTTGCTGTTTGGTGCTAACTTGCCATCATCTGCAAGAACCTCTTCTGTAATCATGCTGGTATGGATGTAGTTTTAGTGGGATCTAGGTCATCTATTAAGATGAATCTGCTATCTGCCTATGAGATTAATTAATCATCAATAGGCTTCATTTTTGTTATTAGTGTAGGGTAATGAATATTCTGAATAATGAGAGTCTTTTTTTTAAAGCCTAGTGATACTTTTGGCATGTGCATGCGTATCTTCATTGAGTTTTTGGATTCTTTCTCTCCTTCATCCCCTAGTCTGTGCTGTCCTTTCTTTTCTCCTGCTGCTAATTCACAATCCAACATCTACAGTCTATCTCTAAGGGACGCCAAGGAAGGGAAGCTCAAAACATTGTGAAGGTGATCACTCCATTTCAGTTTTTCTCCAAGTCTAAATTGCTTCAATCGAAACAAACTTCAGCTGCTGATTTGATTTCCACAGGTGTATTTGGCGAACATAAGACTGAAGGAAGTTGGCACGGACATGCTTATAACAGCTTACGAACCCATCGTGATAAAGTGAGCACAGACATTCGCCCAGTCATAGCACATTGTTTTCTGTTCTCCAGCATCATTCGCCATATCCGGAATCCGTTTTTCCATTACCTGAACTGTATCATTGTCCATATGATATTTGTTGCAGTCCATTCAGCGAAAGTGCAAGCGCAGTTGGTGCTGGGCTAGCAGCTCCAGCCTTGCAATCTGGGTTCATGCCTATGTCAGAGGTGTACAAAGTTGCGGTGACTTCAATGAAAGTGAACGACTGGAGCCTTTTTGGTGCTCCATCTTAGGGAACACTGTCTGATTAACCAGAACGGGAAATGAACTCACTGAGCAGCTTTGGTCTGGTGTACCACTCGATTCAAGCCCCATTCTCTCTCGTTCCCTCCACGGTTCATATGTGAACAAGCTGATTGGTTAGGAATGAATTTCCCTTTTGCTTTTTATGGAATTAGTGTTTTGGGAAATCTTTTTCGTTTCAATGGTTTAGTCTGTGACTTTTTTATACGTCTCAAGTGGGTTAGTGGCTGAATGTGGTCAAAATGGTGATGGTCAAATTTGTTTTGGTAGTGTGGAATTATTAAAAAAAAAAAAAACCTTGAAAATTATACACGATGGCACACCCAAAACCTTCTCCCACATGCAACAACAAAAATCATAACTATGGAATTAAATATGGAGTCCAATCTACTAAATCACATCTCAATCTACTAAAATTATAAACGAATGCACACACAAAACCTTCTCCACACCTACGATAGTTAGGTATCATTATGTTATGTAGATAATGCTTAATGAGTTTTTTCCGTGCAAAACTTTTAAAATTTTGAGTTAAAACAAAAAATATGACATCATATCAGTGATATATCATGATAATATTATATATGAAAATGATAAGACTACAATCAACATGTTTTTTGAAGGGCTATTTTTTTTATAACCAAGATCATCCACAGGCCACGACCGGACAATAGAATTACAAAATTGACAGTAATAAGAAACAATAGTTTGTGTGCAATCGGACTACCGGTGAAAGAGCATGTTTTACCACTAAGTGAACGGTTCTGTGAAAGCTTCAAGGAGCAAAAAGATGAAACTGACACAAAGGATAGGAAGATAGAATGAACTTCCCTTATAATGGCTCTGAGGTTCACGAGTAAAATTGTTTTGAAGGGATAACTTATTTTAATAAAAATTCAACAAAACATATATCATTGTGCATATAATAATTTATGTGTTCTTTCAACATAAAACTTTCCAAATTTCGAGTAATGAACAAGATATGAACCGATTAAGAAAACTATAGCATTGGAAAAATTAGACTTTGACTGGTCAAAAAACTCCAATCTCTTATGGGATCTCTGACAGGCTGACATGCAAGAAAAAAAAAGAATGAGAAATTATCAGGTCGTCCCTCTTTTGTCCCCATATAAATTGTAGGTCGTCCGTATAAGAGTGGTAAACGGTCAGACGGTTATCGATTTTAACTTATAACGAAAGTTAATGGTTAATCGATAACCAATAATTTCTTAGCAGTTCCGTTTCAGTTAGCTGTATTTTGGTTAGTGGTTAATTGAAAAGGAAATCGGCAACCACTACTAGCAAACCCACATAGTTTTGGGCTTTAAGTAAGGAAAAAAATCTCAAAGATTCAAAACCAACCAAAGTCGCATTTCCAAACATCTCAATTCCCACCTATTGCAAACAATCTTCAACCCAAAGTCTCAAATACATTTTCTGACTCCCCTTTGCAATCGACAGAACTAACTGCACACCCTAAAAGCCATTGTTTCTTTGATGTTGCTGAATGATGATGATCTTGTGGTACTTGTATTTTACGTCTTGCTAGTTGATACTTGCTAATAGGATGATTGATGTTGTATTGTATACACGTTATTTCTTATTAGTTTTGTGTGTCGCCCGATGGGCGGCGAGTTACATTAGTTTGTACATTTACTTCTATTATATGTCATTTTTCAATGATATCGGACTCCTAATTTTCATATTTAGACCATTAATTAACGGAGTTTGGGATATGATACTATACCATAGTCTCTAATGGGCAAACCTCATTCTCTAATTCTCAATCCAAATCGTAATATTCATTTAATACAAAAATAATAACCAAGGATTATTATTTGTCAAAATATATTAAAGAACAACTAATAGGTGTGAACGAAGGTGTATATTACACCTCGATCGTACGCTAGCCTTTTCCACCATTATATTAAAGTACAACCAAACTTGCTATGCTTCTATATTACTTTTAACATTTTATGAATGATATCAAATCGAAATGTTAGTTATAGAGACACTTTGTCTTCGCTTCACATTATCATCCAATATTAAATGTGTGACTGGTTATAATTGGAATTGTGTGATAACTTAATACAAACATAAAGGCGCCATGTTGTGCAATTAGTACAATAGGTGAATTTACAGGACATTGGTCAGGGTATGATCCTGCGTTGGTTTTACAAGACACTGGTTCGTGTATGTCCCGCAGTGTTATACAGGATATCGGTCGGGGTATGATCCCGCAGTGGATTTACAGGACACCAGTCTAGGTACGATCCACAGTGGTTTACATTACTTCTAATGTACTATCCGGGGAGTGTATGACTTGGCAAATTAAGATGTAAAAAGCACTGAATCAACCTAACCATGCATGTGATTGAATTCTTGTGTAAAGATTACTTATGATGTGGTTAAGTGATGACTTCCTATGATGTGATATATGAAATGTGAATGTCGATGATGATGGTTAAGTGATGGTTTTCTATGGCGTTTTAGACAATGATTTACCATTAGATGGTGTGATATTTTGCTATGTTGGGACGGGGTTAAATGGTAATGCCGATATGATGTGATACTTGATGCATACATGTTTATACAGTGAGTTATCAAGAGGCAGGGTGATGGTCCTTATGTTGTTAATGTATGAATTATTTGAGTTTGAGATGATGAATGTGGTATGACATGTGGTGATGAATGGATGTTTATTTGACCGAATGAGATATAGCATATCGGATGTAACTTGACAGTTAAGTTAAGCGAGTAAAGGCTGAGAGGTGGGTGACGGGAAACTGAATACTCCATATTTTGCCATGGTCACTGGAAGGGACAATAAGTCCTTTCGAGTTGTACTCTTAAAGGTAACGGAGAAGAATTATATCATTATCTTATGAGTCGGGTTTTCCGACGAGTATAAATGGCTACTAAAAATAAAATAGTAATATATGTATTAGCGTAATTTATTTGAACTATTTGTATGATTTTATTTTATTATTAAAAAGAACACCATACAAAAATTTTAAATAACAAAAGAAAAATGTCACACATGTGAGGTTAGTGGTTATCCGCCCCGAATTAATAAACGGATAGGCGGATATCCACGGTTTTACCCTACCCGATTAGGTCGGATTCGGGCGGATATCCACGGTTATCGGCCCCGAATTAATAAACGGATAGGCGGCTAACCGTGGATACCCGAAACCCGAACGGGTATAGGCATGATTTGAATTTTTTACCCGTTTATTATGTGAGTATTGTATGAGTAAAACCCGAACTACTTTGAGTAGAATAACGAATATGCACTATCCGTCCCGACCCGACCAATTTCCATCCCTAAGGCTATACGCCTATACGGCTATACCATAAAACTCCTCATGAATTGGCAAATGCAAAGCATCCGTCGGGTCTTACTTTTTTCCCATCCGCTCTTATTTAATCTTTTGCAGGTGTTATCTTTTTTTGACTTTTCCGTTTGTTGGAACGAAATTGTGTGGGCCCCCAGCCCATGCAGCCTTCGGTTGGCCCTCCTTTTCTTTTCTCATTCGCCACAACAGCATCACACGTGGGATTCTGAACCAAACCCACTGACCACCAACCAACCAACCACCAGCTAACCACACCAGCAACCATTACCTGATGATATTCACTGTCACTCAACGTGTTTTATATAAAGTTTTGGTTGATTCTGGAATTTTTTCCAAGTAAACGTGTACTTAATATATACATATTTTTTATGAATAAACGATTACTTAATATTTGTGTGCCATCAGAATTTTGTTATGGCCGAGGCTAATTAATTTACCTGCATTTTACGATTCTGGGTTTTTTCTCTCGTTTATCGAGAGCTATTCGTGGCGGCGGAAACCTAGGTTTTCCATCTTCAACTCAGCGGCGGAATTCCCAATCCGAAAGAAACAACATCCAAGAAACTATAAAGAGCAATCGCAGGAGTAGTAAAGAGTTACTTGTACACCTTTGTGCTCTCTCACCAAAGTTATCAGCAATACCATCAAGACAAAACCCTATTTCGTGGCGGCGCTCTATCAAAGCGTGCGTTCCAAGCAACACAGCGAGCAACTGTTGAGGGAGGCAGTGCAATGGCATCTACCAATGATAAGGAGGCTGAAGCAGTCCTACAGGAGGCTGCAAAGACTAGATTAGATCCAACAGAGGCGCTCGAAGACCAACTGAATCAGATTACTCTTGATGAAGATAATGAGGAACCTCTAGAGGTAGAGGATGCTGACGTTGATGTGGTCAGAATGGAGGCAGTCAGGCACCTAGGGCTTGTAGCCCGCCTGGTGTCAGATAAAGAACCGAATGTTCAGTCGATGAGAATAGCTCTAACAAAAGCTTGGGGCTTGAAAAAAGGGTACCAGATAACAGTGCTAGGAAATAACCTTTTCGCCTTTCAATTTCTGGAGATGGACGATCGAAACAAGGTATGCTACGGCGGCCCCTGGCACTATGAGAGCAATGCTATGCTTTTCATGGCAAGCTGGTGGATCAAAAAACCTGTCCCGGAAGACCTGCAAAAAATGGAGATTTGGTTACAGGTTAATCAATTCCCAGCAGAACTGAGAACCCTATCTATGGCAGAGAAGCTAGCAAACAGAGTTGGAGAGTTTGTCTATTTTGATGACAGTTCAGAGAAGATGTGGGATGATTTTATGCGCATAAGAGTGAGTATCTCTATCAATAATCCTCTACGAAAGAAAATTAAACTTAGTGTTGGTGGAGAGCTCAAGGAATTTCAAATCAAATACGAGAAGCTACCCATCTTTTGCCACTCCTGTGGCAGAATAGGGCATGTGAAAACGAAGTGCCCAAAGCCATCTCAACTGGCCACTGATCCCTATGGCTTTGATATGCGAGCAGCTCCCCCTGCTCCAAGAAACTGGTTGTCACACCGGGCCAGGAAGGAAGATTCAGACATCTGGAGACAACTCAGGAGGAAATTTGATCTAGAAAGCTCAGGATCCAATTCAGGGAAACCAACTGAGCAAGCAAAAGAGGATAAGAATTCAGAAGTGGAATCACAGCCACAAGAGCAATCTGCCGATCCTATTCCTATGGAGACTAGCAATGACACAGGAAGGAAACTGGCTGAAGAAAATCCAACTAAGGACAAGGTTCCTAGACAAGCAGTAGAGATCAATGAACACACACAGAGGGGCATCACCCGAAAGCCTGTAACTGTACAAGAAGGAGCGGTGAGGAAGTTCACAGCAGTCCAGGAAGCAGTGGACCCACTGAAGAGGAAACCGGGGAAAGTATGGAGGAGACAGGAACAGGGGA